TTTTTTTTTTAATTGAGAAAATTATATTTTTCATTTCTCGTTATGAGAAAGCTTTTCCAGGTGGATTGGTTAAAAAATATTATGTTCTTGTTGGTGTGAAACTGCCAAATCGCCCCTTGACATGCCTTACTTTGGATGGTGTTTTCACTCCCTTAAAGTGTTTAATGGCAGATAAAAAAAAATACGTGTCGCTTAGTTTTTAGTCTACTATAACATATTATAAAAGAAATCAAATCGGAGAGATCGATCTGGGATAGCTTCCTTCATAGTAGCCAAAAGGTTAATGTTATCACGGCAAGAGTTGCTTCCAGACTGCCGCGTTCGTCGACGTCGAAATCAATCGGAACGTATGTAAACGACCCCAAAGGACACCAGAATTCGGTTACGTGCTAATAATATACAGCAAAAACATGAAATGAACGTCTTGTAGCAATTTTGTTTATGTACCGTGGACGTTGTAAAGAGACATTTAATTGGGTTGACTAGAAGTTAATGTCATCGATTTTAGTTTGTTGGCATCGCTCGGAAGTTTACATCGCATATGTGCAATCTCTTCTGATCTGCGTCCAATTTTATATTTCATAGTTTTGCCCTCGCAGAATGTAAAGTTCCTTTAATAATTGTACAATTATTACTACATACTGAAACGTGAAGATAAAATAACTTGGAATGAGAACAATTTTCGTCGACGTCGAAATCAATCGGAACGTATGTAAACGACCCCAAAGGACACCAGAATTCGGTTACGTGCTAATAATATACAGCAAAAACATGAAATGAACGTCTTGTAGCGAATTTGTTTATGGACCATGGACGTTGTAAAGAGATTTAATTGGGTTGACTAGGAGTTAATGTCATCGATTTTAGTTTGTTGGCATCGCTCGGGAGTTTACATCGTATATGTGCAATCTTTTCTGATCTGCGTCCAATTTTGTATTTCATAGTTTTGCCCTCGCAGAATGTAAAGTTCCTTTAAAAATTGTACAATTATTTCTACATACTGAAACATGAAGATAAATCAACTTGGAATGAGAACAATTTTCACGAAAGTAAATAAGCTATTTGGAAATGATTACCGTATCATATGTACTTTCCAGGCTGTGGGTTGCCGGTATTCGATGCACGTTTTAAAACATTTATCTTTTCCTTTGAAATTGATGAATTTTATTTTTAAGTTCCTCGTTGGTATTAGACTTTGTCGATAATGGCGCTTTCATAGAAAGTATCACCCTTAGAGCTCGTTTAGTAAACAATTAACTGATCTCAAGTTTAGATGATTCTGTCATAGTTTTCTTTGGATCTAATTATGGACACTTACTAAACAGAATAATAAGTTTTAGCGTTATACGAAGAAATAGTCTGGTGTAACTTTGGATATTAAATCTATTATTTTTATTTTTAAGTTCCTCATTGGTATTAGACTTTGCCTATAATGGCGCTTTCACAGAAAGTATCACCCTTAGAGCTCGTTTAGTAAACAATTAAATGATCAAATCTAGATGATTGTCATAGTTTTCTTTGGATCTAATTATGGACACTTACTAAACGGAATATAAGTTTTAGCGTTATACGAAGAAATAGTCTGATGTAATTTTGGATATTAAATCTTGTTTCGTGGACAACTTAAACATGACGTCACAACGTTTATTTTCTCCAGTTTTGTGTTATATCATCTTATCCAGTTACCGCGTTTAAGCAAATTAAGAGAATAAGAGTGCCCGACGTGCGATATGAGACGTAAAATTCCGTGAAAAGTAGAAACACGTGGATCGCACTTGTCGTTCAATGAATCTACTGTCGCTGAGGAAACGTGCTTAAATTACAAGCAAATCCTTAGTTACATAATCTTATCCTCTTATCGATCAGAAAATCCAGGGTAAAGGAAGCAGGGAATTAAGGTAATCAAACGTGATCATTGTGGGACTGTGATTTTTGTTCATGAGAATTATTAAGTCACCATGGATTTGGCTGTGTGAACCTGGAATCCAGTCTCTCATCTCACGTCAGACGTCACCATCGCCTCTGTAACTGTTATCGATATTCACGCGTGAAGAGCTGACACAATTCAACAAGTAATTCGTACATTTAATGTTATAATAAATTCAAGTTTTGTTTTGTTCGCGACAAGTCTCACTTCATTCGGGTACGTTCCTTCTTCACGTGAGCAGATGTATGAATATCCCCTTTTGCAATTCTATTTGCAAAAACAAAGAGACTCATAGAACAACTGCCCGACAAACTAGCCGGGCAGAACATTGGGTGTCCACTCCGTAAAAGTTGGACGTCCTGACTCTTGGTTAGGGGAATTCGATACCCACTTTAAACTCGTACCCATGAAACCTGTTACAAATTTCCCCTCCCCAGCACGTAAGTTTTACATACCCTCACGTCCAGGAATTTTTACCGAGGTATAAAATTACTCCAATATAACCTTGATGCCTAAATCATTCCATACTTTCGTCCTCCGAACCCGTACAATTTGTCGACGAATTTTGGGCCTCTCATTATTCAATAATTCCCTCGGGGGATTCTGTAAGGTACGCTTTATCCCACATTAAAATGAAATGCATGTACGACTCTTAGCGAAGCACAATGTTGCCGGGAAACTTTTCTTCTTACAACGGTACGCGTATCACAACAGAAAACTATTGCAATTACAGCGAACGTAATTGCAACCAGAACAAAGATGTAGCTTTTCGAAGTGAAACTTCACATTTTGTCACCGTGTAAGTTACATGTGCTTGTTAAGATGGGGGAGTGTATCGTAAAGGTACACGTTTTTTTTTTTTTTTTTCTTAGAGTTAATTACCATTACCAATCATATTTTTATGTTAGTATTGAGATAATTTGTATAACCGGTTCCGTTGGTGGTAATGCATCATTTTCTCAATTAAGTGCGAGTTTTTCCATTATCAGAGTGTTCTAAATTGTTGTAAAATTGTCCTGACCCTTTCGTTCCTCATACCAGAGCCTTCGATAATTGTATATTGATCGAAATATGAGAGCTCGACGCCATTTTGGTTCTGATCTAGGCTGAGTTAAAAAATTCTTCCCAAAACTCCAAATTTTGAATGTGTCAAGACAATTCTTCAAGATAAAAAATTTTTCCCAAAAATACAAATTTTGAATGTGTCAGGAGAATTCTTCAAGTTAAACAATTCTTCGACGATCATGAGCCATGTGTCAAAGTTTCGGACAGTTTGGTCCAATACCCTTAAAAAAGAGTGTTGTATTCACGTCCCTAAAGCTAGCAGCGCCACATCAGCATAACCGCATAAATCATACACCAAAATGTATTGCTTTTTATATTGCTTATTTATTACACAAATTTGAATTTTATTACTCCAGCCGTTTTAAAAAAATCAGTGACTATGCCAGCTTTAACATTAAGCTGGCAGCGCCACCTGACATTTTGTATGGAATTAAAGAGATAAGTGGTGCAAAATGTAGGAAAAATTTATTGCTTATTTACTGCTCAAATTACAATTTCACTGTTCCATCCCTTGAGTCCAAAAACTACCCTCTCCGCATATACGTGAACTGCCTGTCCTTCCTAACTGGCATAAATACATTTTTACAAAATTAAAAGGTTTAGGGACGTGTTGTATTCCAATCGGCTGATTTGAGGGGGGTTTCACTTCACCTTAAGCCCGCGTATTTTTCAATGGTTAGTCATAATAAATATCGGCGAAATTGGTGGGTACCTGTTTCGTACAAGATCGAGGTAGACTTCGGTCAGGAGAACGTGAACGAGCCGGCGGGAGTGGTGGTGGACTTCAGGGGCGGGATAACTCGGGTGTCCTGAAATAGCAACAACTCCGTCCCCGCTGCCCCCGGCGACGCCTTTTCGGGTTGCGTTAGTTTCCTCCGAAGTGATCTACATGGTGCCACGTCGGTTAATCGGCTCGTCTAATGGCGTGCAATAAGCTATGGACGGATACCTCGCTTCATGGTCGGCACTTCTCTTGATGGGGTCCATCTCGAGTTGTCCGAAGTCGCGTCAAGGTCGCGCCTCTTCGGGATGAACAACCAGCAAACTGTACGACTCTAATGTGACCGAATGTCCGTTGTGTAGAATCCTTGGTGCACCGTAATTGTCCCAAAGGTGCGAGTGTACGCATTTTTAATTTCAAGAAGTTTGGCCAAACGAGGACGTGGAACTATTTCGGGGAAATACTCTGACGCTGAAGAGAAATCATCGCGTCCTTCTACGACCCATGATTGTGGATAGTTGCGGATTTCTTGATGGCTACCGCATTTTTAATTTCAAGAAGTTTGGCCAAACGAGGACTTGGAACTATTTCGGGGAAAAACTCTGACTCTGAAGAGAAATCATCGCGTCCTTCTGCGACCCAAGATTGTGGATAGTTGTGGATTTCTTGATGGCCACCGCATTTTTAATTTCATGAAGTGTGGCCAAACGAGGATTTGGAACTATTTCGGGGAAAGTCTCTGACTCTGAAGAGAAATCATCGCGTCCTTCTACGACCCAAATTGTGGATAGTTGTGGATTTCTTGATGGCCACCGCATTTTTAATTTCAAGCAGTTTGGCCAAACGAGGATTTGGAACTATTTCAGGGAAAGACTCTGACGCTGAAGAGAAATCATCGCGTCCTTCTGCGACCCAAGATTGTGGATAGTTGTGGATTTCTTGATAACTACCGCATTTTTAATTTCAAGAATTTTGGCTAAACGAGAACTTGGAACCATTTCGGGGAAAGACTGACGCTGAAGAGAAATCATCGCGTCCTTCTGCGACCCAAGATTGTGGATAGTTGTGGATTTCTTGATAACTACCGCATTTTTAATTTCAAGAAGTTTGGCCAAACGAGGACTTGGGACCATTTCGGGGAAAGACTCTGACGCTGAAGAGAAATCATCGCATCCTTTTGCGACCCAAATTGTGGATAGTTGTGGATTTCTTGATGACTACCAAGTTCTTACAGGACAGAGCACTTTTGTTAATGGACTGTGATGTTGTTCCTGGCCGTGTATTTGCTTGTTAGTAGAAACGTCATGGCTATGTCGAAGGTAACGCCGTTTTGATGTGTCCGAATACGAGCTACACGGTCCAAGATAAATTGCTACTATCTTGACGTCGACTAATGTGACTTGTCTGAAATTAGATAGGTCTTGCATACATCTATGAATGACTGCAAGTGTGCTGGCATCACTGGGACAGGGAAGGCAAAACCGCCGTAAAATCTGCCACTTAGTGCTGATCTGTTCCTAGAGACTCTGAACATATTTACCCCAGATCCGAAGACGCGAACATTGTGGAAAGAAGTTATTATCGGAGGAGAAACAATTTTTAAGCCTAACACCTATGAAGTGCATAAATGCGTGATGTTGAACTACTTGTAGCCTGAGATTACTCGAGGGAAACGAACACGCTTTAAATTCTGCATTTTGGCGAGAAAGTACATCGAGGTCTTACCAATATTTGTTAGAGATTGTTTGAAGACTGAACTGTAAAGATATGTTCAAAAAAGTATTATATATCTGCACATCTATATCTGTAATTTAAACAGAAACGAGGATTTTATAATTCTGGAAAATGTGACTAGGTACTGGGAGATACGAAAATACAGCAAGAGGAAACAGTGACTGATCATCTTTGTTTACTGCATCGCTAACTTTGTGCAGGTTTAAAGTACAATCAATACCTTGAAGGAGTGTACTAAGCGACACCGATTTCAAATATCGAGTGCTCCGAATACTCCCGTGGTGACTGTATATCGTTCCAAATTTATCGCGCTAATTATACCCTGCATCCAGCCTGTTGTTGGATTGTTGCCTCACAAGTGCCAGTCGACGGTTATCGTGTTTTGGAACGTGAAGGGAGCATTGAACACCTGACAAACAGTCGATACTTGTTTAACCTCGGTCATCCATCATGCAACAAAATTAAGTGTACATATCACTAGTACGCAAACCACACGACTGTAGCAATTACGAGCAGAAGACGCAAACAACACAACACTCATCCTGTACGGTTAAACCGGTGCCTTGATAGAAGAAATTAAACTTCCAGATGCAGACTGCCTTTTTACCTTGTGGCAATTAATTGCGTCCTATACTACTTGCATCTCGAAGTAAACACGAAACGAAGGAAACGAAAACTTATACTAAATGTATGCAGGTGTAATCCAGTTCTTCAGTATTTGAGAGGATGAAAGGTGCTGGGGTATTCTTTAGTGGAAGGTGAAGGACTTTTTTGGGATGTACGGTCGTCCCGAAGGATCAGGAGGTGCGCCGCCCTGGTTGGTGAGAGCTGAAGTGACGATCCGACATGGCGGGCCAGGACCAAATTCACCCAGACCTAATGACACCTCACAGGAGTCAGGAACGCCCATGATGGAGTCCAACGGAGTCAGGATGTATTACAGATGGAGTCCAGACCGCTTTTCTTCGTCTACGGCTCCAGCAGGGAATCCCAACCCCGTGACGACCACTCCGGTTGGGTCCTTTGGATTCCGGAGAGGGAACATACTGTTCACGTCAACCCCACCAGCTAGACCTCCACCCAGGGCCACCACAATTCCTCGAGCAGGGTTCTCCACCAGCGAGGATTCCTGTTCTAGAGGATACGGAATCAGCGTGTCCGATTCGGGCTACAACAGCGAGCAATTCTCTCCTCAATCGTATTCCAGTCTACCATCTCGCAGACCTTCCCAGCAGTATAATCGCAGGTGCAAAAGCACCTGCAGCATTGTATTGTCGACTATGGGGGCGGACAACACACCTAAAGCAAGCAATGTCGGCAGAGATCAGAGCTTGTACATGCGACCAGATGCCCAGAGTATCCGACCACCTTGGAAGGATCATTCTATGCATCAACATGTCTCCGCTCATTGCCAGTTCAGCACCGTTCCCGAAGGTTGCGAGGATTGTACGCAGCGTGCAACGTCGAACGCAAGCGCGTTTACGACCCACTTTTGTACCAGAGTGCCTGAAAAAAGAGATAGAGAGGTAAATAAGATTACAGGGAGTAAAGATGCTGCGTCCCAAACTACTGATGTAGAATCCGAGAAGTCGCCACCATCCACGTCGAAGTTTGGCGCCTCCCAGCGTGCATCTTTCCAAAGTGGCAGCACCATCACCCACTCTCAAGAGCAAAACCCTAAAAACGTACGTATGTTCTGCTTATGATTCGCCTAGTGCTCTCATTGTTCCTTTCTAGTTTAAAGAGAAAGAATGCCCCTTTCTACTTCTATGTAGGTGTTGTTAGAGTACTTGCGAAGTACAGTTGTTCTCTTTTTTCTATCTAGAGGGAAGAGATATCGTCATTGTCAACAGTGGATAGCAGGGCGTCGTCGACTACAAGTCAAGCCAAGTCTGACTCTTCGGAAAAGGATGACAGTGCAAAGCGGAAGTCGAGAACGGTACACATCGACGTGTACTGTACCGGATCAGATGACGAGTTGGATGACAGCGATTCGGAACCGTCTAGCGATGATGATCAGGAAGCGCCCCCTAAGACGGTCTTTCAAACCGATGACGTCAAAGTAACACACTCTCCGGCGAAGAGAAACACACTTCCTAGGGGATTTCAAGACGACAAAGCATTTTTAAGGCGTGCCGCTGAGCGACGCTGCGAGAGCTTCAGGCAAGCTCCCATGAGAATGCCATCTTTGGCCAGTTCCAAGGGCTATGAAAGCGACGACGTATTGAGCTCCTTGTACCCTTCTCAGTACAGCTCGTACAGTGCACTTAGAGATATAGATTCAGTCCCTTGGTCGGCAGCATCTTCGAGCGTCGCCATGCCTCTGGACATCTGCGACTCCGCCAGCGGAACGTCTTGGAAAGACACGATTTCCGACGTTGAATCTGCAATCAATAGTAGAAATAGCTTGACCCCCTGCGATAGTTTTGAGTACGCCAATTCAGCGGACCGGGATAGAATAGAAATTCTCGAGGAGACCCTCGCCAAGTCGCGAAGTGAGGAGAAGGGGAAGTCCTGGCGGTCACCGCACGTGGAGCGGAAGCACTTGTTGCGCAGCAAAAAGATGAGGGAGTATCTCGAAAAGCATCAAGTTGGATGGTCTTCTGGGGATAGTCTCGCCGACTCTGAAGATAGTGTAGATATCGGGTGGACTTTTGAGAAAAATGAGGAGGGTACGGAAGACACTAAAGCAAACGTCGTTGCCGCAGATGACAAAGGAAAGGATGAACGGAACGGAAGTACTTCCTCGAATTTGGCCGATCCTGATGTGACCTCGGAGAATTCTCAGAGGTCTCAGTTGAACTTTTCGGGCCCTAGAAGTGGCACGCCATATATGTGCTCTCTTCGTGACCAGATCGGCCCGTTTGGGTCCAATAGTCCTTCTCCATTGCCCTCGAGAATAGAGTCTAGAGTCACGTCCCCCTTTACCACTCCTCAGGGAGAACGAACTGACCATATTGTGAAAGCTTCTATCTTTGGTACCGTCGTCGGTGCTTTCCGAAAACCGGGCCATCATATAGGTCCTTCCAAAAATCCGTCGTGCTCGTGCGAGCACTGTCGCCGATACTTCGAGGAGATTACTCCTAGAGGGCGCTCCAGTTCTCTCGGCGCGCTGGAACGAACGCTCACCTCGAGATTTCAGAGAAGCAGGGATATCGTATCACCTGCTCCTTCGAGCTCGAACAACTAACTTTCCCTTTAACTTTCCTGAACATTTGTTCTTATGTAACAAACGTCTATTAAAACGACGATGACAACTAAATTAATTGCGAATTGAATACGTAACCATGACATTGCGATTGCAGGATTGCGAAAGGATTTGGTAGCAGATACATTTCAACAAGTACGTGTATTTAGTAGGAAGAATCGTCTGGAGTAAACAGCGAAACAAATTTGTCTTTAGACTCTTTTTTTAGTCTTCTTGATTATACTTTATTTGGTGGGAATGATGGACGTAAGATCGTCGTTCGACTGTATAATTGAATAGTTGAGTTTTCTACTTTGCGTATAGAGTTTACTACGGCGTTGGTACGTTGGATTAATTATTTGTAATACTGTCAAACCTGTTTTAGTGCGGTAGACAGGGACCTCAGAAAAAAATCGCACAAAAAAAATATTCAGAAACTTCATAAATAGCTATAACAAATCAGAGCATATTAAAGAACACTTTTTTTTATGCGGTGGAGAGGGACCGCATAAAAAAAGTCTCAATTAGAAATTATGTCAAAGCTTTACGAAATAGCGAGAAAGTGCTTTCCAAACAAATTAAATAATTAAATTACACATGGAAATATTTAAAAAAATTTTTATTTCTCATTTTAAACATGGAGAAATTTTCAAAATGTACATAATTCAGTACTTCTCGTCGTAGTCCAAAACGCGCATATTCTTGTGATAAACGGGTTCGTAATCGCTTTCCTCCCTTGAAGATATTAGAGTTGATTTATTTTTTGTTACCATGTACTCGGTGATAAGTTTTTGCGACACGGTCGTTTGATCAGCTGCTTGTAAACGTCGCGATAGCCAGATATACACGATCGAAGCTCTTTTTGGAATTTCAAACTTATTTCGGGATTGTTATCTATTTTAAGAGAATGCTTTTCCAATTTGCTGTTAAGTTATTGAGAATGTCACTATCAGTTACGGTTTCGTCCTTAATCATTTCGATAAGATGATTTTCGCTAAAAGTGTCAAAACCTTCTCTGCAGATGTTATGTGCTAGCGCAATGATTTCTGATGATAACGTGGACGTGTTTTCGGTTACATTCCTATTAATGACACAACAGAGTCCCGATATTAATATACCGCATAAAAAAAAATCCCAAGAAACAAATCGCATAAAAAAAGGACCGCACAAAAACAGGTTTGACTGTACTTAATACAGGTTAATGCGAAAGTGTATTCCAAATGCGCTCATTTTTAGTTGTCCCGTGACTCTTCTTAAAAGAAGCATCGAACATTCTCTCGTGTAATTAAACGCATTTACACAGCATATGTTAACAAGATTGTATTGCCTGACGCCCCATCTGGCGGGACAGTGGCAGACTGCACTGTTAATATTTAATAAAACGCCCTGTAAATGTTCACCTAGTGCTTTGATCTTCCAGTTATCTCGTGCATTGTACAGTTTTGTTGATTCGCATGTGCCGGCTTTAATTAATTATTATTCGTTTTCCTATACAGGCGCAAGCAAGCCTCGCAGAGTCCAGCAGAAAACTGGACTTGTTGAGATTGTCCCTTGAACTCAGAAGGCAAGAGTTACCCGCTGACAGTGCGACCGCTGCTCAATTGAAACGAGAATTAGCCAGTGTGCAAGCAGCCAGTCCAATTCCTGTTACCTACACCTCTTTGCAACCTTTTCGAGGACCTTTGGAAGGCAGAGCCACGGTTCCTGCTTCGGTGTCGAGATGTGCCGCGGTCACGGGCCAATTGGAGGTACGTATAAATATAATACCTTGGAAACCTGGGCATCTTTGTTTAACACTAGATTGCCGGATGTTGAGTATATACCTATTTTGCCTGAAATGAGTCATTTGACTAGAACATCAAAATTGAGTTAAAAAAAAAAAAAAATTTTATTGTAATGAAACTTTATTCAAAACAATTGTTACGTATATATTCTCGAAGCACTCTTTACAGTTTATACTTTACAGTATAAATATAATACCTTGGAAACCTGGGCATCTTTGTTTAACACTAGATTGCCGGATTTTGCCTGAAATGAGTCATTTGACTCGAACACCAAAATTGAGTTTAAAAAAAGAATAAAATGAAATTTTATTTTAATGAAACTTTATTCAAAACAATTGTTACGTATACTTTCTGGAAGCACTCTTTACAGTACCAAGTATAATATTTCTTTTGGAGTAGGAAGTTGGCCCTGAGACGTCTTTGAATTTGGTATGACCGGGAAATCTACCAGTATTTTTACCATCTTTCAATAGTTCCCATAATGTCCCATCAATAAACGTCCCGTAATTCGTATACAGTGATTCTGAAATTACGCAGAAATTCTTCAAAAATAATTTATAAAATTTTCTTTTTCTTTTGTGTTACTAAAAATGCATTATTCTCTCCGATGCCATAAATCGAAATCTAAGAACACAAAGAATGTTTTATCAGAGCTCTCATAAAAGCCTTCAACAAAAAAGTCTTGCAACAAATAATTTCACAATATCGAACGTGCAAGTTTGCGATAGATATCTAACCAGTAAATTGATAAGTTTGAACGTGAAAACTATCAAATCGGATTGTTTACATAAAATTTCTGTGGACAAGAAATAAGTTACATGAGGGTAAAACGACCAACATTAAAAATTTTTAATTAGTCAATTTGACTCACATCCGTGAAAATAGGTATAGCACATATGGATTTTTGGAACTAAGGAGGGGGGAGAGGAAGCAATTAGCATTTGTATACATTTCATAATTTGATTAAAAACCAACATGTGTTTTAAAAATAAATTATTTAAGTTTTTCTATATATATACAGCGATAAAATCGTAAATGAGTCAAATTGACTCGTTCCGGCAATCTAGCGTTAATATAAATACTCGTAGGTGAGATTGATGGGCTGTCAAGACTTGGCAGAGGAGGTGCCAGGACGTACCAGAAGAGAGCATCCAGCGAGTCCGGATTTGCGAAGTTTTGTTAAAGGCGTAACGGGACGTAGTTCGTGCAAATCTTACAGCGTGAAAGATGAAACGAGTAGTAAGTATGATTTAACCCGACGGTGGCGGTACGTCGTACGGAACGATGCTATAAGATGACATAATGTTGAAATTTCAGACGATATTATGGCGGTAATTAAATTAGATAATCAGACGGTGGCGCAGACTAGTTGGCGACCATGTTCCCAACAGGCTTGGGACCAAAGGTAGTTATTATCAGTGTTTATCTCCTAGTTATTAGTGACGTAATCGACCGATGGCCGTCCAGAAGTTGCTCTCAAATGGAGCATTGTTTGGCAAAATTTCTGACGCTAAAACGGATCTGATTTCAGACACATAAAACTGTGTAAAGAAAGCGTAACTTAAGTGGCGCGCTTTCGAGTAATAACTGCCTGCCGTGAAGATAGTAATTATTGAGCGCAATAATTGCTTTTAGGTTCTCTATTGAACTAGACAAATCAAGGGAGTTGGAAATAGGCATTTATTGGAAAGACTGGAGATCGCTTTGTGCAGTGAAATTTTTACGCTTAGAAGAGTTCATCGATGACGTCAGACACGGGATGGCGCTGCAGTTGGAGCCCCAGGGCTTGCTATTTGCAGAGATTAAATTCCTTAACCCGATGATTTCGAGGAAGCCCAAATTGCAGAGACAACGGAAAATCTTTAAGCAACAAGTCAAGAATTTCCCACGGGCCAATCAGATGAACATTAATGTCGCCACGTGGGGTAGGCTTCTTAAACGTTCAGCGCCCTCACTGCACAACACGCGAAGCTCTGAAAGCCCGCCATCAGGTAAAACTGGATAAATTACCCTTATAAAAAGTCTTATTTATTTCACATGATTACAACGGATCTATTAACGAAGCCTGAAGGTGTCTTTATACCGGGCGGATTTACCGACATTTTAGTTATTTCCTATTTTCCAAAAGGTAGTGGAAGAAGTTGCCTAAAAACTTGTATATGTAAATATTTAAACCCGGGAGAACCTTTTTTTACTAACAAGTAATAATAGTATGGAAATTCATTTGTTAAGCTTCGTTCAGTTAAACATAATTTTCAAATTATCATGGACGATGTTTTAAATTGACTTTTCTGGTCAAAATATCCACACAAGAAAATTATAAACGTTTATATGTGTATAAACCGCAGAGAGTAATAAGAAACAGAAGCCGGGAAATTTTACTCGGTGAAAAGTCAGTTTCAACCTCCCTTGAGGTACAGGACAGATCCTTATTTAAATTCTTAAATTAGATTAACTTAAGGTGATGTGAAAGTGGCATCGAAGAGGTTTTGTTTATAAAACTTTTCTCCCAACTCAATTTACCGAATAATTTTAAATTTTACAACATGAATAGGGAGACTATAAGGAAGGTCCTGAAACTCATGAAATTTCAATTTTTTTCATATTTGTTTATAGGTATTTTAAAAATAGTTTGTAAAAAATGAAATTTCGCGAGTTTCAGGACCTACCTTAGGGTCTCAATATTCACGTTTTAAAATATGAAACGATTTGAGACACCCAGTTCTATGAAAAGTTTTATGAACTATTGAGCTTTCGTATACCACTTTCACGTCCCCTTAAGGGGATGTGAAAGTGACATCGAAGAGGTTTTGTTTATAAAACTTTTCTCCCAACTCGATTTACCGAATAATTTGAAATTTTACAACATGAATAGGGAAACTATAAGGAAGGTCCTGAAACTCATGAAATTTCAATTCTTTTCATATTTGTTTATAGGTATTTTAAAAATAGTTTGTAAAAAATGAAATTTCGCGAGTTTCAGGACCTACCTTAGGGTCTCAATATTCACGTTTTAAAATATGAAACGATTTGAGACACCCAGTTCTATGAAAAGTTTTATGAACTATTGAGCTTTCGGATGCCCCTCTCACATCCCCTTAAATAGGATAACAATTGTGCTTTGTAGTAGTCAGTTTGAGTATGAATATATTTTAAATTATTTAAAATGTCGGTAGGTTCGCAACCATTGCAGCTAGTTTTTGATACGTCCGTAGAAGACAAAGCGGAAACACCTGGGGAGTTACCGGATCCGGAAAAGGGTGGCTTAGGAGGAGCACGTCCCTTAGGGATGGGAACATCGACCGGAAGTCCTGTGCTTCCGCATCCCCCGGAACATCCGCCACCTCCACCTCCAACAGTTTCGAAAAAACCGTCTATGCAAGCTCCTGCACCTCCTCCAAAATTAGACCAAGAGGTATGTCTCACCGTACCATTGAAATTACAACTAATTAGTAGTTACATATCTCTAGTTAGTATCAGTAATAAATGGGCCGGGGAATTTAGAGGCTGTCGGTGGGTTATTTTGAAATTTTCATTACTTTTTATTTTCCACATTTTCAATATATTTGCACCAAGTACTGTAACGACCATACGTACCGTTTAGGACTCACAAAAATAAAAGAAAAAGAAACCGAGCTGCTATCAGCAGATGCACTCTACCTAAAATCTCTAATTAAATGGGGACGGTTTTGTACATACTCTTTCAGTTGAACGTTAATCGTCTTTTTTATATACTTCACCACGTCGAATATTTATTCAATGGATTTCTTTTTTTTACCGCGAAGGTGCTGTATAGTTAATATCTCTTCGCTACGATAGGTCTGGATAAAACTGAAAATATGAGTTGACGGTCTCTTTTTGTACTATCTGAGAAAAATTACAGCAAGGGTGACACGTTTTGTTTGCAGTTGTAATAATAAAACCTAGTTACTAGACAGCTCACCTTGTAAATTCTATGCATTTATGTATTTAATAGATGTCACTTAAGTAACATTAATGTGTTGAAAGCCGAGTTAAAGTGAAGCTATAGTTACACGCAGCACAGCTTACTGTACATGTCTGCTGATTTTATATACATACAAGTATCCGCGTACTTTTCTCTTGTTTTCTCGCTGGTCCGCATTACATTTTAATTTGCGCCCCCAACTCGAATTGCATATTAAGACATAGTAACTGCAAACCGTTGCACCATCCTGTAACTCTAACTGCATCGCTTACCGAATGACATGTATACACGCGTTAAAACATCCGACCATTAACACTTCAAGTTTTAGTTCTTTCTCGCAACACACAGTCTCTAATCGGTACATTTACATAGAATAGATATTTACCATCCTTGTAACACTTTGAGAAACACCCAAACATCCGCGCAAGTAATTCTACCGAAACTCGGCGAACTCTGGTGAGAACATTGGAAACTAGAGGCAAAACTTGGAGGGATCCGTCGTAAGGAAAAGGGTTACGGAAACGTACACTTGTTCTGGTCAACAAATTGAAGGTGAAGTGAAACCCCCCATTAAATAAGTCGACTCGAATAAGACACTTTTTTTTAAGGGTATTGGAAAGAACTGCCTAAAACTTTGATACATGACTGGTGAGTACCTAAGAATTATCGTGACACTTTCAAAATATAGAGTTTTTAAAACAAAATTTCTTAACTTAGCCCAAACCAGAACCAAAATGGCGCCGCGCTCTGATATTTCTGATCGATATACAACTATTGAAGACTAATATGAGAAACGAAAGTGTCAGCGCAATTGTACGACAATTTGGAACACTCTGATAATCGATAAACTCGTATTTTAACGAGATAAAGGCAAAAAAAGTGTCTTTTACGGTTCTGTGCTAAAACGATGGTAATACGAGGTCTCGGAGGGAAGATTTAGTTGGCATGGAAGTCACAGATGGCGCAGAGTGTTACTCCGCAGTCAATTAGGGCCTCGGAAATCTTGAATCCGGGGGATTTCTTGAGTTTTACTTCGATTCTTTGGCAATTATTGTACTAAAACGACAGATGGAGTATGTCATTTAGTGCAATACTGAATATAATTCTATACAGCTGCCAATATGAATACCAACGTCGGCAACGTAGGTATTTAGAGAAACCTTTTTGACCGACGTTGATCATGTTCCTCGACGTGTTTCACTTCACCTTGATGGGCCTTCAACCTGTTCTGCCTGTATGAAATGTTTCTTTTTCGGCCTCCACGGCGGCTTATCGTCGGCTACGTGTAGTATCGATGTCTACAATAGCTCCGGGTAGTTCTTTAGAGCTAAGTAGACAGTAATGTAGTTACAGAGTGCGTTAAGGGAGTTTGATTTCCTGCACAACGAGGAACGGGGTGGTCCCCAAGGGGCCAGTTTAAGGCCCCTCGTCACGGAGCCTCGCCCTGTGCTGATCGCACCACCTTCTCCACGCACACCCTCGCCCCAACCCGTCGTCGAGTTTCCCGAAGATGAGGTACTGCCTCCACTAAGCACAGCATGGCTTTCCCTTTGGCTTTCTTCCTCTCTGCTTGCATCTCTTGTATGCATGAGCTTCATCGATGTTCCTCTCGATTTTCCATGGTCGTAACAGTTCCACTTTTTTCTCCCATACAGGGTGAATCAACATTTGTTCTGGATACATGTTCTCATATATTTCGGCCCTTTGCAATCCATTGTCATTATAACAGTTCTACTTTTTTTTTTTTCCTATACAGGGTGAATCAACATTTGTTCTGGATACATGTTCTGATATATTTTGACCCTTTGCAATCCGTTGTCTTGCTAATTGCGTTTGGCTAATTGGAGAAAAACTCCAAGTGCAAAGAGTTTAGTTATCGGTAAAACGGATAATTATGTCAGGTGAAATGTAGATGATTTTTCGGGGGGCACGGGATGCGATTTTAAATGTCTGAGGCCATTGTTTACAACAATTAAGATACTTTTTTATTATGAATTGGCGGTTTTTTAGATCATGTTTATGGCAGATATGGCGGAAATAGACGCTTCAAAATGTATACGGATAACTCTAAGGTACCTGATTAAATACAATTTTGAAATCAACTTGGTGGACATAATTGGCATTTAATAAATTTTGATTTGTAATTCATATTATAATAATTCAATTTTAAATGTCCGAGGCCATTGTTTACAGCAATGAAGATACCTTTTTATTATTCTCATGGATTGACGGTTTTTTAGATCATGTTTATAGCAATTATGACAGAAATAGACGCTTCAAAACGTATGCGGATAACTTTAAGGTACCTGATTAAGTACAATTTTGAAATCAACTTGGTGGATATAATCGGCAATTTGATAGAATTTGATTTCTACGAAATAATGAAAATTATCTTCGTTGTTTAAGTGGTCGTTTAGGGGNCGGTTAAGGTGAAGTGAAACATCCTTCAAATCAGTCGATTCGAATACAACACTTTTTTTTAAGGGTATTAGACCAAACTGCCCGAAACTTTGACACATACGCTTCAAAACGTATGCGGATAACTTTAAGGTACCTGATTAAGTACAATTTTGAAATCAACTTGGTGGATATAATCGGCAATTTGATAGAATTTAATTTCTACGAAATAATGAAAATTATCTTCGTTGTTTAAGTGGTCGTGATTTAGGGGAAGGTTTGTTAGATCAGATAGACGCTTCAAAATGTATACGAATAACTCTAAGGTACCTGATTAAATGCAACTTTGAAATCAACTTGGTGGATATAATCGGCAATTTGATAGAATTTGATTTCTACGAAATAATGAAAATTATCTTCGTTGTTTAAGTGGTCGTTTAGGGGAAGGTTTGTTAGATCAGATATCAAGAAAATTTCGTCTGATATTCCTTTTTGTAACATTAATGGTTTGAAGAATATCTTTGGTACAAATGTTGAGTAACTCTTTCTGAATACGGTTTGACAATCAGACATTTCTTTTTCGTACAAACAAGAAGGTTTTAAAATGATATTATTTATTTCGCTTTTTTCCTAGAAAAAGCCTCTTGCCCGAGAGAAAATTAAAAATGTAAGTTTACGTGCTCTTTAATTTTAATATTTAATCGATGCGTTAAACTTGTCGATATTAAATTAAACCTCGTTAATTGTGTAAGTATTGAGATTTGTTCAGCCACGGTGAAAGGAGAGGGAATGAATTGTAGCATTTATTTGGCTTGCAATTTTCTTTTACGTTGCATTAGTCAGCATGTCCCTTCCTAGTCTGCGTATTGCATATTTGGGTGGAAGTACTTGTGTGGTAATACCTAAAACAAGATTTTAGCCTGGGCATAAAAATTAAAGCGTAAAACATCAACATCTCGTTCTCCAAATCCAAAAGCTCATTACGTTTCCTTAGAGGTCCTTTTATGTAATTAAGTGCATCCTTTTTTGTAACCATAAAACGTCAGGTGTCCCCTAAATATAAGTTAACAGACTAATATAATTAATTTCGCAATCCCTTCACGATATAAATACGCCAGTGTAAGAAGTTTTATGCGATTCATTATGAACAATTGTAATCTGTGATCTGCCAGGACGAACTCCTTCACAGAAACGGTATCATACTTTTTTAAATAGAATCCATTGGTGCTGATTATAATTCATTAGCTTTGCATTATAAGTGCGTGGACGAGTGCTGTGTGGAAGTACGATTTAACAAGATATATCATTAACCCCTGTGTCGGAAATTAATTCATGAATTTGGGATAACGATGTGCAGTCCTTGGGTAGAAGTGGATTAATTTAAAAAAGAAAATAGTTACTTATGATTGTTATTTTTTTAGGTGGTCTATGAGATGCCAGCAAGGCCTTTCCAATACCGAGACAGTGCATACGAGTCGAGACGACAATCTCAACTCACAGGGATGACTCTAGACAACTTCAGGTTACTCTCCGTCCTTGGTCGAGGCCATTTCGGAAAAGTGATTCTATCTCAGTACAGGAACACTGGGGAATACTTTGCAATTAAGGCTCTTAAAAAGGGTGACATTATTGCGAGGGACGAAGTAGAGTCCTTGTTGTCCGAAAAGAGAATATTTGAGGTCGCCAATGCAACCCGCCACCCTTTCCTCGTTAATCTCTTCGCTTGTTTCCAGACAGAGGTAATTACAGCCCTAATGCTTCAAAGTATTTTTGTCTCAATTAAGGCGAAGTGAAACCCCCTTCAAATCAGTCGATTCGAATATAACACTTTTTTTAAAGGGTATTAGACCTGTCCGAAACTTTGATACATCACTCTCCTGATCATCTGAGAATTGTCCTGACATATTCAAAATTTGGATTTCTTAAAAAAATTGTTTAACTCAGCCCAGACCTGAACCAACATGGCGTCGAGCTCTCATATTTCGATCAATATACAATTATAGAAGGTTCCGATATGAGAAACGAAAGGGTCAGGACAATTTTACGACGATTTAGAACACTTTGGTAATCGATAAACTCGCATTTGAACGGGATAAAGGCAAAAAAAGTGTTGTATGCGCTTCTATGCTAAAACGATGGTAATACGAGGTCTCGGAGTGAACATTTAATTGACTTGGAAGTCACAGATGGCGCAGGGGGTCCCTCTGCAGTCAATTAAGACCCCGAGAAGCATGAATCCAGAGGAAACCATGTTATTTTAAAAAGAATACTATCTTGTACTTTTAGTTCATGAGACTTCTAGGAATTAAGTAACGGCACAAATTGCTATATGAAAAGCATGGATTCTTTCACTTCTAGGCGCATGTATGTTTTGTAATGGAGTACGCCGCTGGTGGTGATCTAATGATGCACATACATGCTGATGTATTTGGAGAACCGCGTGCAGTTTTTTATTCAGCCTGTGTTGTGCTAGGATTGCAATATTTGCACGAGAGTCGCATTATTTATAGGTAATCACATTTTCGAATTCTTATGTGAAATATTTTATGTTCTCACGTGGAGATTTAATCCCCTTGGATATTATTTCACATGTAAATCTCTTCCTTTTAGGGATTTGAAATTGGACAATCTTTTACTGGATACCGAGGGCTACGTAAAAATAGCCGACTTTGGATTGTGTAAAGAAGGCATGGGGTTTGGCGATAGAACGGGAACCTTCTGTGGAACTCCGGAATTCTTGGCGCCGGAAGTCCTTACGGAAACTTCTTATACTCGAGCAGTCGATTGGTGGGGTCTTGGCGTTTTAATTTTTGAGATGTTAGTCGGAGAGGTGAGAATTACATTTGCTACAAAGGATCTAAAACGTTAAACCACGAAGAGGCGTTTACACTGTACACTTTTGCCCATTCTAAACTTCGTTAAACTTTCGACAGTCTCCATTCCCTGGTGACGATGAAGAAGAAGTCTTTGATTCCATTGTCAACGATGAAGTGCGTTATCCTAGATTCCTGACGTTAGAGGCAATTGCAATTATGAGAAGGGTAAGCCTAATATTTATTCCCAACTTTTCTAAGATAATACCTTCTGGCCTTAATTGCAAATTCGTTCTTTCGTCGCAGCTTTTACGGAAAAATCCAGACAGAAGATTAGGCAGCAGCGAGAGGGACGCCGAGGATGTTAAAAAACAAGCGTTCTTCCGACACATTGCGTGGGACGATTTGCTCTTGAGGAGAGTTAAGCCACCATTCGTCCCAGTTATTGTAAGTACACTATTGTTCAGTAAGTACACCATTGTTCACCCAATCCTAACAAAATCTCATCATTTGCGCATATGAAGATTATTTCAAGGAACGTTAAGGTGAAGTGAAACATCCTTCAAATCAGTCGATTCGAATACAACACTTTTTTTTAAGGGTATTAGACCAAACTGCCCGAAACTTTGACACATCACTCCTGATCATCTAAGAATTGTCCTGACACATTAAAAATTTGGATTTTTCAAACAAATTTGTCGATCGATATACAATTATCGAAGGCTCTGATATGAGAATCGAAAGGGTCAGGACAATTTTACGACAATTTAGAACACTCTGGTAATCGATAAACTCGCATTTGAACGGGATAAAGGCAAAAAAAGTGTTGTATGCGCTTCTTTGCTAAAACGATGGTAATACGAGGTCTCGGAGTGAAAATTTAATTGACCTGGAAATCACAGATGGCGCAGGGGGTCCCTCCGCAGTCAATTAGGGCCCCAGAAGGCATGAATCCAGAGGATTTCTGGAGTTTTACTTCGATTTCTTTATAATTATTGTACGAAAACGACAGGTGGAATATGCCATTTGGTACAATACCCAATATAAATCGACCCAGCTGTCAATATAAAAACGAACGTCAGCAACGTAGGCATTTAGAAAAATCTTCTTTATCGACGTTGATCAAGTTCCTCGACGTGTTTTACTTCACCTTAAATGTTATAGAAATATATTCCCAGACCCATTTACAAAGTACACTTTCATACATTATTCTTCCTTTTTAAAATTGCCTGAACTTGAGAAAAATAGGGTATTTCCTTTTGTTACAAATAGTTGAAACTTTCAAGGATTTGAATATACTTCTGTTCCAATGAGTTTTTACACGTCTCATTCTTTTAGAAGTCCTTTACAATTATTTCCTTATAACTTTCAGGGTATGTTTCCTAGTTTAAACGTGAATTTTTTTTTAGGACTCTGTGGAGGATGTTAGCAACTTCGATGAAGAATTTACATCAGAGAAACCGCACTTAACGCCTCCCAAAGATCCTCGGCCACTTAGCGATTTGGAGCAAAGCCTCTTCAGGGACTTCACCTACATGGCCGATTGGTGCTAGCCATTGCAATGAAGTGTAACATCACCTCTCTCTCCAGTTCACTTTAACCGATTAAGAATCGTATCTCCTCGAGGGCTTTGTACCGAATCACTGTTCGTCTACGCGTAGAATTAATATCAAAAGTATACATTTCCTTTTTGTATACACGCGAGTTTTTACACCCTCAATGGCCACTGAATATTTTTATATTTATTTTATTTTTTACTTCCGCCAACCCCTACTATATAGATTCGAGTTATATCCGCCCCCAGATTACACCAGCCCTACCTTCCGATTACAATAGAATAATTGTTCATATAATTACTATCAAATCGAGAACAAATATATATGGAACTCGTTTGTATCGCTAGAAGCTCATATACGACCTCAGATTGTAAATGAAAATGATAACCGACCTTTCTCCGATAGTCACAAGTAGTAACATCCTGATCTAGGTACGCGTAATCTACATGGCAAACTTGTATATATCTATCAGAAGCCAGATTAACATTTTCAAAGGAGATTAGACACGCGAATCGATATATTGAGAGATAATCACGATAGAAGATTTTCAAATTGAATATTTTCAACTAATTAGAGGGAGCCAGGAACCTAGCTGTATTTGCTCATATTAATGTGATAATCGATCAAACCGGAAATAGAATCGTAAACTTATATCATATATAAACCGTAATCTACACAGTCGATGCTTCAGATAATATATTTATACCAATAGTAAGCAGCATCGCGTACTCTAGCAATGTTTCGCCACTATATTTTCTACACAATTGACGGTTTTTCCTTTTCGTCTATATGTTAATTGAATTGCCATTTTGAACGCGTGCCTGTTCGACGCATTCTACGCACGTAAAACATGTGCCTAAGCAATTTGCAGCTAAACACGTAGCAATCTTGCTGAGTATAACCGCAATAAATTTTGGAAGACCACTACACGAGATCATTGATATGCTTCCACTGTAAATCGCCTATTACTTTTATAATTATTAAGAATAAGAATGCCGACCACTCTTGATTTGCACCGCTCTAAATTAACTTATCGACGACACTAAAGTCGGAATGATAAGATCGTTCCGCTGTCGATTTTCTCAGTAACTCAGAGCTTCGTGAAACGATTTCGATAATTAAATAGAATATTCATCGTTTACTGTAGCGTTTTTTTTTTTTTTTCAAGATCAGAGAAATATTTTATCATAGAAATTGATAGAGAAGGTCCTTTAAGTAATCATCAGAGGGATCTGAACAGCCGAAAAGTATAACGTGTAACTGTTTGTGATAATTTCGAGTACACCTCGAGGTCAGGTTGCCTTATCACGTTAAATTAATAACAGTTCTGGTATCTATATTTTGTATTGGAAAACTTTGTACTCTGTATCCGAAGCCCTTTTCGATAAACAGGTGCTCTCGGTTAATGCATAATCATATCGTGCCTGGTTTTTGTCATCCAACTTACACTTCTGATTTATTCTAAATAACAAATTCTTCGGAGAGCAAAACTCTCAAGAATCGACGCAGGGGTATTAAACAAAAAAGCAAGCAAAATTAGACAAAAAGATTGAAACGCAAATAGAAAGGCTGATTTGTATTGGAATTGTATTTCGGTCCAAAGTCAACTGTTCTGTTTATAACCGTTGACTTGATAAATATTAATTTATAATGGGACTCACGTTAATAAATGGTTTAATGGGAATTTACATCTTGTACCGGAAGCCCGTTTTAGGATAAGCGGATTTTCTATTTAGACGCAATCGAACAGTGCCTGCTGTTTAATCTCATTTACATGAAGTGTCTAATTGCAATTAAATACGCAACCGAGAAACACAATTTGCAACCGATGCGACATCAAAATTTAAACTAATGGAAGACATTTCAATCGTAATATTTAATACTTTAACGAAAAAGTTCTTATAGCTGGAAGAGTGAAATGGTGGAGTCGTAAAACGATAAAAAGAATTGAGGGTATTTTCCAGATAAAAAAAAACGGACATTGAAAAAAGAAAAAGGACATTGTCAAGTAATCTTTTTATATAATGATACCGCAGAGTTGTAAATGCGGTATTGATCAAATTTCAGTTTATTTCTTCAAACTTGTTTTTCTGGTGAAGAAAAAAAGAAATACAAGATATAGTTTTATCACATCTATATTATAAATCGTTGCACCATGTTCAAGTATTTTCTGTCCGACTTGAATTTTCTTCAGTTTGGACTGTGACCCACTCTAATGTTAATTTCTCGACTAAATTAAAGGGATTTTTCGTCATTTTCTTAAATATTTATACCGATCGACTCCTTGTTTATGAATCTATATCGAAGAACAATGACCCTTACGTTGTTTGCGTTTAAAACGTAAACAAATGTCCTTTTATCTGAAGATGATGCCGATTGTTATAACAGATTAACCAAAAGAGAAAGAAACGAGATATTCGGAGTTTCCCCTTGCCAATTTGTTACGATTCTTAACTAATCGTGTTAAGGATGTAACACAGACGTATATTGTACATTGACATCTATCGTAGATGGATATATCACTCAATCCTAAAGTTTCTCATGAGATTGAGGCCATTGATTTTTCATAGTATAAATGAGATAATGTGCGCCAGCATGTTAAAAAGAAAAAAAAAAAGAAGTATAAGCGTTATTTACTGTATCTTATACCATAAGAAGCACTGTAAACATGTTTAGTTGTTTGATCGAGTCTTCGTCCTGTTGTATACACAATTTCAATGCGAACGCATTACTGCAGCACATAAAATCGTTAAGACGAATGTACAAAGTAATTAGAAAAAAAAACGCCTGAAGATAGCGCCATCTCACCAGCGGATTTCTCTAAAAAATTGAAGCATGAAACAGAACTCGAGATAACATTATCAGGAGATCCGTTTACTTCTAACAAGGAAGGTATCCCAGGTCGATCTCTCCGATTTGATTTCTTTTGTAATATGTTATAGTAGACTAAAAACTAAGCCACACGTATTTTTTTTTTATCTGCCATTAAACACTTTCTAAAGTATGTCAAGGGGCGATTTGGCAGTTTCACCCACAAGAACATAATATTTTTTAACCGATCCACCTGGAAGAGCTTTCTCATAACGAGAAATGAAAAATATAATTATCTGAATTAAAAGGAAAAAAAATTAAGGGGTGAGCCACCCCTCACAGGCCTTACTTTGGATGGGGGGTTCACCCCCTTAAAGTGTTTAATGGCAGATAAAAAAAAATACGTGTCGCTTAGTTTTTAGTCTACTATAACATATTATAAAAGAAATCAAATCGGAAAGATCCACTTGGGATATCTTCCTTGTTAGACGTTCTTTAATGAAGTCGACCAAACAATTCCAGTGAAAACATGAAACAAATGTACAAAAAAGTACAAGAACGATTGCGAAGAAGTGCAACAACATTAATTTATGAAATGTACAGAGAGCTAGAAATTTGAGCCCAATTTCTGTGTCTTTGGCAGAGCTTTCACGGAATTAAATTTCGTCTTTGTTATAGAGTGTATGAGAAACTCAAGATCGATCGATATTGTTTCGAAGAATTTTCATTGAAATTTTCGTAAGAAATGCGCTGCAGACGGGATGAGCAATTTGTTGCCAAATTACTTTGTACATCCAGTAATGAAATTTGTACATAATGCGAAAAGATATGTCGAACTAAACTCTTCACTGTAGATAGTCAAATAATGTTTAATTTTAAAGGTAGGCATTTTAAATAGGTTTAAATTTCGTTACTCGATTTTTATATATATACCTAATTATACATATACCGCTAACTAGGCTTAAACGTTAGGGCGTGTTGAGTCGTGCGTTCACCACATTTATCAGTAACTACTTCACGGAAACTGTACGTGCCTCATACTCCATAGCTAATGCCGAATAACACACATAACCAGGATGAGCCGAAGTGATGACTTTTAAGTATTAATTTATTTCATACGTGTAATTGCAGTGGCAGCTTACTACAATAATACCCCTATTAATTACGTAGTTCTTAATAATAACATCCAAATTTAAGAATCTTTATATACTTAAGGAAAATTATTTGAAACAATAAATGCATAAAAACTGAAATGTGTCGATCCATTCATTGTTGCTTCCTGTTACCACTTTAGCCGTTAAACAATTATTCTCAATTCAAATTCCTAATTATACTAGATCTCACTCATACAAGGAAAGATATACGAGAAAAACTGGTTTTATTTTAATAATTTATTATGTAAGTACCAATCATTTCTTTTTTTAATTACTTTATAAGCATAACGGTTCTTTGGCAGTCGTTATGGTCTCAGTTTTTATTTCAGTTACAGTCTCAGCCCGTATTTCGGAGGTTGTAGGTTCAGATTTTTTTTCAGTTATCGTTAACGTTCCTTCTTCAGTTTTAAAATCCACATTTCTGGGAACGTCTATTTTTGTCTTGTCTTCGGAAAGAGACATTGCCATTTCATACAAGTGTGACGAGTTTCTACGAATTTGTTTTTCTAGTTCTGCTTTTTTGTCTTCTTTTTGTTTTAACTTTTTACATGTTTCAGGAGATGCAGGTTTTACAAGACCTGCACTGACCGTGTAATAAACGCTACCACTGTCACCATCCTTAAATACGAAAGAAAACCTAAAACGTAATATACCTACAATATTATTTAAGTACATGAATAAAAATTGAAGCTAAATGTTAGTAAATTACCTATTTACTTCCAAGGCTCGTTGAATATTGTCAATTTGATGTAACGTAACGGTGGTCAAAGTAGACCATGGTACGTATACTTCTAATTGTGAAGATTTACTAGATCTGGCTTCCAAGTACAACAAATCTAAGTCTTCATTGTATTTATATGATACATCCCAGTATCGCTTTACTGAAAGTAATACCCCACTTGGAATGAATAGACTGCATATATTGTGTGTAAAATGTATTTAACAATGCTTACTTTCACATAACTCAATATACACGTGAAAAGCAAGAGTAACTTTTCGATGGTCGGTGCAACCTAGTTGACTAATGTAATAATACTGAAATATTAACACATGTTATTAATTGAAAACTAAATAAACTTTCAATTACATGTATACTTACACTTGGATGACAAATATCAAACATAATAACAAATCTATCAGTCTGACAGCTATGATTAAATTAATTGAACATGATGATACCGTAATAGACAAGTAACGATTATTAATTTAATAATGCAAGAATCCTATTATTATAAATGATTTGTATTATAAAATATAACTAAGTGATTGTTTTTATTTATATTAAAGGCTATGTTTCTCGTAGTTAAATATATAGTAAATTGGAACCATCATAGACCTAAGAATATATGGACGGAGCTCAAAACAGGGGGTCTATTACATAAAGCAAATTGAGCGAAAATGTGAAAAATGAGTAGCTGACGGAATTACGGAACGTTTTCGATGGTGAAAATGCGAGACCATTCATGTGAACTGGCTCGACACACATTTTTAAACGAAATCAGAGATGCGTTGGGAGATTGCTCACGGGCAGGATCGCGCGATAATCGTGTGCTGCCCTCTGGTTTCGTACGTTAGCTTTCACCGCTTTTTGCCCCCAATGGCGGCGCAACGAATTTCTGATAGGGGCCAACTCATCTCTGCCAAATCAGAGATGAGTTGAGAGATTCACGGGAAGGATCGAGCGACCGCGTCCTGTGCGACCTCCGATGGAGGATGCAGACGGCTAATGCACTTGCCACCTGTTACGACTCTGGGCAGCCGGAGAACCGGCTGAAAAAGTGAAGAACTCCTCACAAAAACTCCAAAACCCTGTATCTCCTCCGAAAAAATTCGCAACCACTAGCTCGAGAGATGAATTTAAACCGAACAACCTTCCCCATCAAGCTACCGTGGACGCAATTCGCATCGCGAAAAAAGTTTGCAAACATCCTTTAACATATTTTAACATCTTCTACCAACAAGTGCAGCAAGCTCGATTTCGATTAACTGCCCATGATGATTTTACCAAAAATGGCTGCTTCCAGGTGATCCACCTAAACCTGCAAAGGGGCACAAAAGTACAGGTAAAACGGAACATTGAAGAAACACCAGGAAGTCGCCAGATTCTCCGAAGTGGCCCATCTAAAGCTGAAAGGGAACACAAAGGCACAAACGAAACCATTGGGAAAGCGAGAAAGAGACGGTGATACAAGAGCTAATAAGTTATTCAAGTTTCCATTAAAGTCAAGAATATTTCGCAGTGCATCGATCTCGTATAATTGACCCAGTAAAAATGTATTTAATTATACATTACTTGGCGTGACAAAAATCTAATATATTTATCTTACTTAAATGCAGACTCGAGAAAATTTCATGAAAACGCTAGTTCACCGTCTCTCCCCGTCAATCCAGACAAAAGGATATACAAAAAATGAGAGGGACAACGTGGCGAAAAAAATGGATGACTGTCCATTCGAAAGAATGGAAGGCCATCATAGTTGCCCTCTTCTTAAGGGGCCGCTTCGGCATATAGCCTCTTCGACTCTTGCAGTCTCTTCGGGCAGAGCCCCCTTCTCGAACGCTTGGCAATCCCCTGATTTTTCGAATTTGAAAAAAAAAATACTCCGCGAGCAGATTCAAAAGCTAGCAAAACGACGACCTGCGATCCGAGGATGCGCAGTCCGTGCGTATTGCACATTTATTCGATTCCCAAGCGCGGTCTAATTAATTTTATTGCTGAAAGAAAATTGATACAATCGCGGATATATCACAGGGTGGACATCCTCCGCGCTTCCGGAAGCGCGGACGATGGAAAGTTACCCCAGGTTCAGGATCTCCTCCCAAACCCCCAGGAAGAGATCCCGCCCTGGCCCTGCCTACTTACATCTAGACATTCACTCCAGGCAATTAGCCTACCTCCCTAGCTATATTTAAAAAATCAACCTCACTCATTCCAACACACTCACTCCACGATTTTCTCTCATTCCACCCGGGGACAAATAGCCTAATCTAGGGAGAACATCCCGGGATGCCTCCGACCCCCGAGCTCAAATCTCTCGCATACATCTTTCATCGGTTGCCATCGATAATCGAATTTAAAGAAATTAAATGCATAGGTGCAATTGAAATCAAGATGGCAACCGAAAGAACTTACAAAATTATTTTACCGCGCCCTCTGGCCCTGAACCGTTCGACTCTCTCCTGGGGGAGTCGAAGGGCGGGGGCCAGGAAGGAACGCGGCCACAAGAAAAGACACCTACCGTTGCCGATGCTGAAAGAATCCTAACTAGATTAATTTTTTATAGCGCTACATCGAGCTACGGCTTCTACTCGACATCGATAATTCATAATTTTGATAAGATCGAAAGGCCAAGCCCAGCTCGCACTACGGCCCCAGGGTAGTGGAAGGCTTGGCCGAAAACAGCTGAAAATCCTGAAACGTTCCCCTCGTCGAGGCGGCGACTCTAAATCGATCCGCAGGCACATCGAAGTGCCACCTCGACTCGAGGTCGGCTCCTCGCGAGATCCTCCTCCCAAGTCTTTTTAAGATCATCCGAAGAAATATCGCGAAACCGATGGCCCCGAAGTCGGAGGGTCGTCCGACTTCCCGGCGCATGATAAAGAAACGCGAAACGTAATCTACCGCGGACCCAGGAGAAAGCTATTCCTAGTCTAAATCAACATACAAGAAATAAGCAAAGTTCACGCGGCCACTCGCGAGTCGGCGGGAGGTCACTCCCCGTCCACTCGCGGTCCCTCAAACAAATCATAACATACAACCGATCCCCGTGCCGGTACGGACCTTTCGTCCTGCGACATGAGGGGATCGGAGGAAGGAAATGTTGAGACTTACCAACGGGACGATTCGTCTTTTTCTGGCGGTACTCCCCCAGGAGATCCCTCCGCAGAGACCTGGGGTTTCTGGCCTCCTCTCCATCTGCCTCCCTTCGACGTTGGCTCTGGCTGCATTCCGCCTTTGTATCCGCTTCCACTGCTTCCACTGCTTTCACTGCTTTCACTGCATACGCTGGATACAAGCATATTCAAGCCTCGGCTCCATCTCTACCTCCGTCCCGATGATGGAATTGGCTGCATGCTTCTGCTGCCTTCGTTGAATTCCTTTTCTTTCGCTGAACGATATTTAGTCCATTGCACTCGCGGACCGTAATCACTGTCGCGTCCTAATCTCACTGTCTTCGCGTCGGTTTGGAAACTACGCGTACACCCCACCTCGTCATCTACGAAGCCTCCCTTGCACCTCGTTAAGATCTCTGAATGTCATATATCCCTCGCGCCCTCCGCCATTTTCTTAATTTTCGACGACATCTTATCGCGGCAAAATTTCAAGAGCAACTGGCGATCCGCCGGCCGGGCCGCAATCCCCGGCCGTGACCGACTCCGTGATTGGACGACGTCACCGGCTCGATAAAGGACCGTGATTGGTCGATCGTTTCGTCAGATGGAAGTGCGAGAAGTGAGCGCGCTCGTTAAAAATGCGTAATAAACGCCCTGGTATATACTAATTTACTACGTCTTCGTCATACTCCTAAATCCGGGATTTATAGAATTTGTACCGAGTAAATGCGAATTTAAGTGTCGATCGAGATGCTCAGGACCGAATTTGTGCATTTATTAAGGCAGAGATGCTCATCTCTGATTAATGCGATGGAAACATGCGATTTACTGGATCCGGACCCAATAAAACTCAGATTTAGGAGTACGATAAAGACGCAGTTATTGTTTGAATAATACGGTCCCAGTGGACAGATGCAGTGGACTAGATTTTCACCGTCGCGTATCTTCATTTTTTATGTAAAACTAGAATTAATATATTAATTGATAAGTCAATTTAATGAATTGAATTAGGTTGTCTGTCGATCGTTGCTTAATAAAATGCTGTAACAGAGATGAGTATCTCTGGCTGTAACGACAAACTAAGTTTTTAATGTGAAAGTTGGCAATTCTACTCAACCGAACAGACGCGGTAAGAAGTAAAGGTTGTCATCGCCTGCCGGTGTTAAACAATTAATTTCTTGAATTTAATAATAAATCTATTCACGTCATGAAGCTAGTGAGGTAAGTTATGAGGAATATGATATTTTGTCATTTGTACTTCATACTTTGTTTGACAATGTTATTTAATACGTAGTGCCGCTTAATTCCTAACCTCGATATCATGAGTCAAGTTTCTTAAATAAGAAATTTATGTATTCTAATAACACATAGTACATTGTAATTTTTCTGCTTTAGGTTTCTAATGAAACTTAGTCACGAGACGGTGACGATAGAATTGAAAAATGGTACTCAGGTCCATGGAACAATCACAGGTTTGTATTATAACCTCAAATCCGTCATGTGTAGAAACATGTACCGAATAAGAATAATTTTATTGTCTATGTTATAATATAATTGGTAATTCTGCGTGCAATCTTTGACGCGTAGCATGCTTATATTTTGAAGTAAAGAGTACAGGTTATTTAACATATTATTCAAATATTTGTGACATTTTTACATATTTCCGTTTTAACGTATCTTCGTTAAATATTCACAGGTGTAGATGTTGCAATGAATACACATTTGAAGACAGTCAAAATGACAATAAAGAACAGAGATCCAGTACAATTAGATACTTTAAGTGTGAGAGGTAATAATATCCGTTATTTTATATTACCCGATTCGCTACCATTGGAGACCCTACTCATTGACGATACTCCAAAGGCAAAAGCAAAAAAGAAGGAAGCTGCCCGAGGTATGATTCTTTTATTTTCTTCAATTCTTTTTAAGTTTAGTGCCTTCATGATAAAGACAAGCTATCAGCTAAAATAACATTATCTTGTAATTAATTAATTATACGTAATTTTTCTCCTTTTCTTTTTTAATTCATAAACCATGGTGATAACCGGATGCATTGGGTTGGCAACTAAGTGATTGCGGATTTTTAAAACCATTTATCGACAAAATCGGCAATCATTTAGTTGCCAACCCAATAGAATAATGACCCACTGTACGTTTTTTTATGTTAATTTATCTACCTTAAGTGGTTGAGATAACAGTTCATTCTGGGTTATATATACAGAAAAATTTTGTAAGCCCACTCTATTGGCTCTGTTCAAATTAATTTTTTTAATATGTCCATGCACATTATAACAAGATTAATTTCCACATTAATTTCCTATATCAATTGTACCAATACCTTAGACAATATAAGTTGGAAAAATTAAGAAATTGATAAATGGAAATTAAAAATAGGTAATTGATACGCTCAGGTATTCTTTTCTTTATGAATCAACTTGAAAAAGGTATCACTTTTATTTTGTTTTTTACATGAACGTTCAATATAAAACTCTTAAATGAAAGAAGAAAAATCTTGTAGCCTTAACTAGTTAGTACCTATGTTCAGAAATTAAAATTTGGAATAGGGTCATTATATTGGGTCGAGGCATAAGTTTGTGCAGATTTTTTTCACATCGTTCAGAAAAAGACTGCACAAACTTAACCCAATAATATTCCAAGTTACAGAAACTATCGATTAGCTCTATTGTGATAAAAAAATACTATTTCCAAATGATTGCCTGAAGTCAACAATTCAGTTCTGGACTTATGTTATTAATTATACGTTACATTTTAACTATCTGCATACGCTGATGTTCGAAGTTATATTAATTATTTAGTATAGAAAATGTATTCTAAATATTAAAGCAGATCTTTCTGCGTTATATTTTAGGTGCTGCCAGAGGTCGTGGACGTGGTGGTCGAGGGGCACGTGGTGGGCGTGGTGGTCGTGGCAGAGGTCGTGGCAGGCGATAATAGTACAAAACATTCTACTCTTTTAATAAATCGATTTAAAGTCCAACCACGTTGCTTGGTACCAAAACACACATCTAACATAATGAAGTATTTTATAATGACATGGTCTGTGAAACTCATTCATCCCACCAACTCGACAGTACCCATTACTATTGCAAAGTGAAAGCACATTCATGGGTCTTCTTCAGAGTCGACAAGAGAATTATGAGTACAAATATTTGATAATTTCGTAACTGCTCAATATTATAGAACTGCAACGAGTGAGGTAGGGTAAATCAACTTACGAGTGGCAAAATTGTATCTTGTACGGCTTCGGTTTAATAAACAATATCGCTCTAATGCGTGATGAGTTTTAACTTAAAAAAAGAATGTCGCCGAGTTTGAAGTCACCGCGTCATATACGAAAGTGTTATGAAGCGGTTTGTACTGGTTTGTAATGAACTTTATCGTCTCCTGCGCAGCCAGTCCTCCCAAGAATGCCGAAACGGAATGGAGTTCTGATCCACCGTATCGACAGAACTCGTGTACATAGTCATCCTTAGCTAGGGGACCGCAACCCCATTCTCCAAGCAATTTTGAAATGCATGCCTAAAATAAAAGAGAAAACGAAAAGCAGTATAGTATAAATCAGAAGTAGATGCACTGGAATGACGTCTATAATGTAGTTGAAAGAACCCGTTCTTACAAATATTTTTATTCATGTAACAGATGTATTCCGTATTTTGTCAGTGATTAATGAATGGTTGTATGTATTAGTAAATATAAGTAAGATAATCTGGAAAAAGTAGTTTGCTTAACAAAAACCTGAATATATATTATAAAATCAGTAGATTTTTTTTTAGCTAATAGCGGTGAAGTATTCTCAGATCTATCCTTTACAGAACTTTATTGAAATTTAAGTGTCAGTTTATTCGGTGAACATAAATCATTAGTAAAGGTAACTATATATTTTTTTGTTTAGAAGAAATTCTACTAAAAGTAAAACTTATTCCATTTATTGGAATTTAAATACAATTTATAAAGATATTCATTATTGTAAAAACTCTCACATTACTACAGGGTACCTCTAATTGGAAGTTGACGAAAATTTTGTGTTTAGATAGCTATCTTATCAAAAGTTAACGGCAAATAGCAAAGATAATATTAATTATTGTGTTTTGTATTACCTTCAGTTTGACGATGTCAGGTTCTACGTGATCGTCGAATTCTCCTGGGTATGAATTATATTCAGCTTGGAATTTTTCAACCCCTCTAAGGACCACGTAGTATATCATCATACTCTCTGGATTTTCCAGGCTCTGAGCTAAAATTGGAATGAAAGATATGAAATCTAATTAGAGTCACGACTTTCATACTAACTTTAATATTTAACCATTCAAAACATTCGCTTAGTTCATTGATGTATGTCAATTCGTTAGTAAACTGTTTGTATATTTGATACGCAATCATTACTTTAAAATTGATTGAAACAAATATTACCTATTTCATTGCTATTTATAGCTTTAGGGTCATATTCATCTGCAATACAAGTGCCTCTTTCAACGTGAATATCAGAAGCATACCTACAAAAGAGTTTTACATCTTTCTCCGATATAGAGTCCGAAGCTCGACCTAATTGCCTCAATAATTGAAGCGTACGTCGCCAGACAGCTTCGACATCAGCCACTGCTTGCTTATGATAACTGAAACATGTAATGTCAAACAACATCGTAAAACTACTTTTAAATGTATAGTTTTATATCTATTATCAAATACTTTAGCATATGTATACAAAAAGAATTAAAAATACAGTGTAATCTTTCTGAGCATACTAGACAAGAATACATTAGAAATAAGGAGAAAGTTAATTTATCATTTTCTCGATCATGATTCCTTATTCTTACACTTGTTGAAGTGCTACATATTTTTCAGTGTCAGCAGTCATGTCAGGTAGTGCACCTTTCAGAGGAAGCAATCCACCTCCTTCGTTCGCTACAAAATCTCTGATTGCTTTGGCAATAATCCAAAAAGAATTGCTCTGGAACATGTAAAATTACAAACACTTTATACAATAAAAAGTCATAGATTGGGTAAGGAACATTGTATCAAATCTCTTTTTCGATCAACTGCCAAAAAAACAAAGAAGTGTAGTACCTTTGCCGTCAAATTAATGCAACAATCATCATTTAATATCTCTCCAACTGTATTAGGCACTGCAGTTCGCCCAATGCAAGTATTAACTGCTCTGATTGCCTCTTCAAAGTTTTCTTCACCAATTGGATTGTCATGTTCATCTCTTCTGATTCCACTTCGTATAAAATCCCTGAATTGCTGTTTCTCGGTATAACTTTTTGGCAAATCTCCATGTTCCAACACCCACTTCTCCAAGTATTTATATAGTATAATAACATATGGTACATGCGAATGGTCTTTAAGATCCATCTCTTCGAGATTTATCGAGTCAAAGTGATTTTTCAAAGATTCAAAGGGTTTGTCTAAACGGAGGTCTGAACTTTCATTGTCTGGATGCGTTTCGATGATCCTGTGTTCTTTTACTTGAACTCGTATGTGACCAATAAAGCCCAAACTCCGACAAGTGATTAATGGTATATTTAGGTCCCATAGCCTTCTCGATAGTGCTATTAAAGGCCTGTAAAAGAATTATTGTTTTAAAAACGATGTACTAACTTTTATAACTTCATATTTCTACATAGGTTAAGTATCATTAGATAATTAGTGTATAGCATCTAAAATTTAAATATATGTTTCAAAACTAGCACTGTTTCTACTAAAAAATTGTTGACATATAAAAATATTATTAATATAGATAAATTTCAAGAAAAGAGGAATCTATATAAATGGAACGCACTTCTCAGGCAGTGACGTGCCAACGACAACGGTAAAGTTATTGAAGAAGTCTGGACTATTGGATAAAATCTGCTCTGATCCTTCATCGACGTAGTCACCTCTCACATCTGGATTCAACTCCAACAAGACTTGAGTCGCTACCTGTGCTCTGGATTTTCCAATGCTGTCCGCATCCAGAAAGAAGCTAACAACATTTGTTATTTATTATAGCAATCCTGCGATCCAAAACATGACTCGCATGTAAATATTTTCACTGTGAACATAGAATGTAACATTCGACGATCCCAACTCAATTGATTGATACTAAAATGAAACGAATAAATATATTAATGCAAATGGTATAAACTCACTTAACTCCAATATCTTCGTCAGTTATTTTTTTGCCATCAATTATAGTAAAAGCACCGATTCCAGACAATACTAGGGATTTCAGGATTTCCGTACCAAGACCAGTTGCATTAATTAAACAAATATGAGCCGCTTCCAGGGAAGCCTGGCCATGGTCGTTCCATAGTCTGCAAATTAAATTAATGATTAAACTCTGTATACAATATTTGAAGAGATTGTACATTTCTAAAATTCTGAAGCCTGAAAAGACGTACTGGATATTACACATAACCTTACAGGTTAATTAAAATTTAGGAAACTGAAAAATGCTGAGTCTATACCTTACATAAGACAAACGAAAACATAAAATAACTGCAAAGAAATACATTAGAATATTTCGTGTTTGCTAATTGCTTAAACCGATTGACTGATAGGATTTCTAGAAACCTTGAATAAGATCATACCATAGAAAGATTACTACGACCCCAATTTTTAAATAGAATTTAATTAATTAAATCAAATTTAGTGACTCGAAGCAGCTCGCATACACCTATATCCAGATCTACAATAAATGTAATTTAAATAGAAATAATGTGAAATGAAGTATCCAAATTGTTTAAGAATTAAGCTGGAACAGTTTCTGAGAAGTGACAAATACGATACGGCAAATTCATAAAGAATCGCGATGACATCTAACCTCAACAGTTCAATCCATAATGAACTACCTGAGTTGTCTGTCGTATTTTCTGTTCTTTTCGGATTGCTCGGGCGATTTCGGTGCCGGCGAAGCCATTTTTGATTCCGTTATAATGTAGTTTTGGCTACACTCATGAAACTTCCTACAAATCACACACAGTTGAATAAATATGCCGGTAATTGCTGGTGCACCGCACTGTTGCCAACATCTTTATCTTACGTCATTAGGTTTGTTCGCGTTGACTGCACTTTCTACACTCGAGGGTAACGAGGGTACTACACTTTTCTTGAAAAGTGCAGAAGGGTAGATACACTTTCATCGACGTCCCGAACGCCAGAAACCTCACGAAAGTCCACGATGACCGATTTAGCAGAGAGGTACGCGATTTTGAGGTTATCCGTATCGGACGACGATGAATACGAAAATGTAATGCTTCCTCCAGCCTTCCTTCTTGGGCTGTCTTCGTTTTCTTCAAATCCTACAATTTGTTCTATTGCCTTGTAATTGTAGAAGATGTAAATTCCTTTCACGAATTTCAGGTATCGAGGATCAATAAGGGTCAGAATATTATTGCAGTAGAATGAAAAACAATTTAACCACAGCAGTGAAAAATTATAGTTTAGTTCATTCCAACCGCGGTTAGGTAGTAATACATAATTATTGTAAATTATTTCAAAGATTATGTACAAAACTGAAACGATAAATCGTTCTATACGTGAAGAAGATGCATTAATAATTACTTCTGTTTATATTACGTTGAGATGTTAGCATAGATTTTGTATTTTCCCGTTTCTTGATCTTTTCAATTTTCAAATTTGCCGCCAAATTCGCGGGCTGCGCTTTTTGCATTCGCTCGGGATCGAGGGTAGAAAGGAGGGTTGGGTAATTTTACGATTTTCAAGGTTTTTGACGTGTATTACGTAAATCAAGTAGGTTACCGGGGAAACGTAGAAAACCAGGAAAAAACGTATCAAATATGGCGGACAAAACAGACGTAGGGCATGCGGTATCCACTAGGTTATAAACATCCATCTTGTCCATTTGTTTCATCCTATAATTTACTTTTTGGTCTTCCACCTTTATACATTTTAATACAAATATTGGTTACGAAACTTACGACTTCAAATAGCCGTTATGAGCCGTTATAAACAAACGTCAGATGCACATATATGCATATCAGAGATGAGTTGGGAGATTCACGGGAAGGATCGAGCGACCGCGTCCTGTGCGACCTCCGGTGGAGGATGCAGACGGCTAATGCACTTGCCACCTGTTACAAATCTGGGCAGCCGGAGAACCGGCTGAAAAAGTGAAGAACTCCTCACAAAAACTTCAAACCCTGTGTCTCCTCCGAAAAAAATCGCAGCCACTAGCTC